TACTTCCTGTTCAAAAATAAATTTTCATCCAGAGTTCTGAAATTTCTTCAAAAATGTTCAAATTTGACGTTTTTGTACACATCATGATCCGCAGATACCAAAAATGTGAAAAAATTATTGGGATGCCATTCAAAATTACGGAGTTAGAACCATTTCCGGTCAAACCGGAAGTTACCAAACATTGACACACATGTCAAAAGATGACATTTCTCAAACCTACACTCCATACCAAAAATCTTTGCCATCGAAAAAAAAACCAGCAAATGCCAGCGCGAAACTGATCTCGTAGACACCCGGTATAGGGTGTTCTAGTTAAAATAGGCAAGTTTACATCAACTTCCGGCATAACAGGAAGTGCCGCAATGTTATTGATATTTTACCTGGATGGCCTCCTACGACATTACTGTGTTGCAAAACTTTCAAAATTTTCCAAAGTTAATTTTTCGAGAGATGGATAGCCGGCAGTTCGTCGCGGAACCCTCTTATAGGTAGTACCACACGTTTGAAAATATTTTTTTTAGCTCCAAAAAATCCTCGTCCAATATTGCGCCTTCAATGATCATTAAGGATATGTGATTCTCGATATTCAACGGTAAATGACAGTGGAAACAAATGCGCTATTAACCATATACTTCCCAGTGGAATAAAATCACTGCTTCACCTCGCTGTTTTCTGAGGGTGGGTGATTCGAGGTATAATAACCAGATGAAACCTATACACCTTTTTTTTTATAGGACTGAACTTTGAAATCGGCTCTTGAACGTGACTGAGCTCGAATTTGAAAAACTACATTTTTCTAAACATTACCTGCTGTATTAATTTAAGCATACAATCTAAAATTCTGATTTTTTGCACACTTTTACTTGAAATATGGGCGCTTCTAATGACAGTTCAGAAATTTGGAAAAGGTGCAACGTTATTTTTTTTTTTCAAGTTAGGAATATAGAACTTGCACATTAAATTAAAAATGGAATAAATAATAGCATACAATAACAAACATCCTAATAATTGATGCAGTTAGGAAAAAAAAGTGATATCTTATCTCTGGTGTCCAAAATCTTCAATTGAAAATACCAAATAATTCGAAATTCATGACGCGATCGAAAACGTGTTTCTATGGGTCGTGACGTCACAAGGCAGTAATAATCGGGTCGCGCCGCCGCCACGCCATGTGCTGCTGGTATCGCTATTGTCAAATCTATCGTAAATGGCATACATAACAACATAACCATATTCTAAATCTACCTGCTCGAAGTTAGAAGTGCTCGTCACTGTCAACGGAATTTTGTTGCCGAGTGACGTCACACTAATTGGTCGTTTTAAATAGTGGTGTTTCGAGCGTAGCTTTAAATATTTATAAAAAATTAACGGCTGATTTTTGATGCTCGATATTCGGTATGACTAAAGGGAGTGAATCCTACGCCTACCGGTAGGTCCTTTGTTATCCAACGGTCGTACGCCTACCAGTAGGTCCTTTTTCATCCACCGATTGTGCGCCTACTGGAGGTGCTTTTTTACTTTAGAATCCGTATATCCTACCAACCAGTCAGCTCTTGCTAGCTAAATGCGTTACCTAATACATTTTTGTTTGTTTGCAAAATTGTCATTAAGAAATTCGTCAACTGGGTAATAAGCCTTTATTAGTACCTAACATCTTTCTAATTTGGACTTTAAACTTGTTGATGTTTGAAATCTGCGTCATTTTAGACGGCAACCTATTGAAAATCCTTCTGCATACACCTTGAAATTATTTTTGAGTTTTCGATTCCTCGCTATGCTGGCTAAACCTCGAAGAGAGGATCCTCGGGAGAGCAAAGCCATCAAAAACGTGAAAAACCTTTTTCAACCTATATCACCTTCTTGTTCAAAATATTTTTGAGTCTGCGATTGCTCGCTCTGCTTGCCGGTAAATCCACCAAAAACGTGAAAAACCTTAATTAAATAGGTATAACCCCTTGAAATTTTAAATATTTTTGAGCCTCTGGATTGCTCGCTCCGCTCGCCAAACTTCAAAGAGAAGATTCTCGGAAGCTTAAATCTTAAATCCACCAAAAACATGGAAAACCTTTTTCAAATATATCACACATCGAAAGTAAATGCACATATATATGCACAATAGGTAGGCGACGGATTCTTGAATTAATATGAACCTACCGGTAGGCTCAGGATTCTTTTTGCAAACAGTACCTACCGATAGGCGTTATATCATGTGCCAATTATTGAGGACCTACCATAATGTTTGAGCGTTATACTTACGGTAGGCACGCAATCAATGAAACAAATGGGACCTACCGGTAGGCGCAGAATTCACTCCCATGACTAAATCTTTAGTGTAGTAGAATACATTTTTGAAATAAAAAAAAATGTGCAAGTTCCCTATTATCAAAATCGTGCATCTAAAACTTCACCCTGCGGCGAGCAATGTGAATTATTGGAAATTTCTATACATATGAATATATCGAATCAAATGTAGTAAAAACTTTGACGAAGTTTAAAGAAAAAATTTAAGTCGCCAACTTCAACGGTTATAGAACTATGAATTTTTATCCAAGAGCCCTGGAGTGCGCTCAGCCCATCACGAACCGAGTCGCGACGGAATTGTTCGTGCATTCACGAAGATGTGCATTTTCTGATTTTTCCAGTTTTGTGTGTTTGTATGCAAAAAACAGCTAAGTCTGATTTAATACCAAAGTTTGAACCATATTCAACAGTTCCTTCTTCTCAAAAAATGATGTTAATGGGGGTATGACCCAAAAAAACAACTTAGGTTACTTAAATCAAGGGAAAAAATCTAAGATCTCTCGTGAAAACCGCAGTCTTATATTCAAAATAGTATCCGAGAAAATTCCTCTTGAGGAGAAATTTTGCGGGAACTTCTGACGATACACCGGCTAACCGCCGAAATCGTAGCCTTCTGTCAGATACAGATATTCTGGTATTACTTATTTACTACTATTTTTGAATTTATTGAAATAAATTCTTTGGAAGAAACACACCTTTTTATGGAATTAGAACAAGGGAATAAAAAACGGATCATTTCAATAAATGGTGCAGCTGCAAACTGGAAAAAGAAGTTTGTAAATGTTTACCAGCGTTGCATGTGTTAACAGGATGCGATACCACAAATGCAATGTTTAAGATCGGCAAAAAACAGCATATTATGTATTTTCTAAAAATCTTGTAGCCTTTAATGAGTTATCAAAACTGAACTCTGTGTCTACAAGCGAAGCTGTTAATATCGCCACCATATTTGCATTGGCCCTATTGAGAGATAAGAACGAGGCCATTAAAAACCTCAATGAATTGAGGTAGGTATCAATTTATTACAACTTCAGATAACAACTTCCAATAACAACTTCAAATAACAACTCCCAATAAATCCGCTTCAATCAATGAACTATTCCAATATTTGCAATCACCTGCCATTGTAGAAAATCATGTGGTTTGTATCGTTTGAATTACCTAATATGTTTCATCATGACAATCGTGACATAGCTATTCAATAACGATTCGGGTTGGTAGGATGAGTGCAAAGAAAATGTATTTCTATCTGTTTCTTCAACAGACTGAGAGAAAGAGATGAAAATACACTCAGTGTGGAATTAAATCTACCAATCGGAAACGCCATTAGACAAATATCCCAAAATAATCCAATAGGATACTTGCATGAAAAATTAAATTTATTATTGTTTATTGCAGACTGTCGGAAATCGAAAAAAAATCGTTAATTTTTTTTAAATTTCGCTCAAATATGATTATTCCGGAAGTTATACAAATATTAAGTTTTTTATATATACCTAGATATACTGAGCATGTGCAACGTCACTAATTTATATAATAAGTGACGTCATAGACATATTTTATAGCGTTGTATCTCCGTTAATTTTTGACTAAGAAGAAAAAGAAAAAACACATTCATGGATTAACGAAATCAGCAATGAAAAAATTGATGCAAGTAGATAAAGTATAACCATTAACAATTGAAAATCGCATCTCTATGGTGACTACTCAAAATTAGAAAAATACCCCTTATAATAATATAAAATAATTTTTATATTTTTATGCCAAGTCCTGGTACACTATAACAAAGACGCCGGCAAAAAAACTTGAAAATTGTTGGCGATGCCGCTAGGCTTTGTCGCTTGCCGACAAAGCTAAACCGCTCTTGTTGACAGTGTGAGCAAATTAAGGATTACCTACTATATGAATTTTGCCCATTTATTTAACGTATTAACTCCACTGTATTCTAGAGGTAAATCAGCTAGAATTTCGGGGCAATGCCGTTCGTCATTTCAGTTTTTATAGAAATATCTGGAGTATGTTTATTCTTTATTAACCAATTTGTTTTCATTTGTCATGATAATAATATTTAGACGCCTATGGATTCCCTCGTGACTTCAAAGAGATCAACTGAGCCGCCTTTTTTATGAAATTTCAATTAATAATGGTTAAACTTTACCCTATTCTAACAGAAACTTGCCTGTATTTCCGAAACCTTACTATTTAGGTATAGGAACAGGATACATCATTTGTAAGGGATTTTGATTGCCTTTCATAATAAACAGGGTGTTCTATTTAAAAAAGCACTTTTTCATCTTATTTGTACCTGGCAGCTCAATTACTAATTTTGACCAACCCTAGAACAAATTTTCTTGCTCAAAAGTAATATGCAGGACCTCCCTCAGTTATCTTCAGAATTTAAACTTTCTACGAATCTCAGGGACGTAGTAATATAAATTTAACTAGAGTTTTGTAAATAACTAGATTCTAGCGGCTGCTCCGCCATGAGTTGACGCATGCGCATCATCATGTACATTAGACATTTCTATTTCAACGTCGATCAGCTGAGCATAGCAAACAACAACATTACATAACCATAAATAACTTAACTTCTAGAAAATTATTGTTTTCGAAATACCAGTGTGTACTGACGTACTGTGATCCTGTAACTTTTTAAGGTGTGTTTTTGTGGGTTAGCCTGGTATAATTATTGAGCCAGAATGGATAATAAAAGCACTAATAATGGCACTAAGTCTCAGAAGTGTCAGTTATGCGAAAAATGTTTTAAAAAACCCAGTGAATTGAAATATCACATTGATAGAAAACATCCAAGTAAGTTTAAACAGAATAATGTTGCTTTGTTGTACCTTGTGGTATTTTTTAATGAGACTTTAGGCTGGTGTTTACCCAACTCCTTAATAGTTATTTATGTATCAAGGGTACTAAGTAAATGATTATGCCCTGAGGGCGACAGTCTTACAAAGCCGAGGGCCTCTGGCCCGAGGGTTCGTAAGTCGCCCGAGGGTATATTTATCTATTAGTACCCGTGGTGCATACTAGCTATTTATGTACCAAGGGGATTATGTAGATTATAATGCCCGAAGGCGAAACTAGCCCGAGGGCCTATGGCCCGAGGGATATATTTCGCCTGAAGGGCATTATAATCTTGAAATCCCCGTGGTGCATACAATGCTTTATTTTCTACTCAACACAATGCATTTTCATCAATTTGTTATTAACAAAATCAGTTAAACTTGTGTGACAGAATATTGTTTTGTATTTTGACATGTACCTGTACCTGTGACCTGTACCTGTACGTGCGACCTGGACATAGAAACCAAATACATTAATATATCTATAAACATCTCATAAGGCAAGGCAACGGTGGTGGTCCTGTGGGTTAACGCGCTGGACTACATGGGAAACGTTGATGGTAGACCGGGTTCGAATCCTGGCTAGACCGAAAATTATTTTCGGTCAGACATTTAGTGGCTGCCTAGGGTAAAGTGCAAATTAATAGAACAACAACAACAAAAACACCTTAAGGTATTATAAGCGGGCGTTATAGATCATAACGCCCGCAAAAGCGGGCGTTATGGATCAGGTTGTTATAGGTGTGTTAACGTATTTCGTTTCCTAGGTATTATGGATCTATAATAGTAAAGTAGAAAATAAAAACTTTTATTTTCTACTTTACTATTATAGATCCATAATACCTAGAAAACGAAATACGTTAACACACCTATAACAACCTGATCCATAACGCCCGCTTATAATACCTTAAGGTGTTTTTGTTGTTGTTGTTCTATTAATTTGCACTTTACCCTAGGCAGCCACTAAATGTCTGACCGAAAATAATTTTCGGTCTAGCCAGGATTCGAACCCGGTCTACCATCAATGTTTCCCATGTAGTCCAGCGCGTTAACCCACAGGACCACCACCGTTGCCTTGCCTTATGAGATGTTTATAGATATATTAATTTATTTCGTTTCTATGTACAGGTCGCAGGTACAGGTACAGGTCACAGGTACAGGTACATGTCAAAATACAAAACAATATTCTGTCACACAAGTTTAACTGATTTTGTTAATAACAAATTGATGAAAAAACATTGTGTTGAGTAGAAAATAAAGCATTGTATGCACCACGGGGATTTAAAGATTATAATGCCCTTCAGGCGAAATATATCCCTCGGGCCATAGGCCCTCGGGCTAGTTTCGCCCTCGGGCATTATAATCTACATAATCCCCTTGGTACATAAATAGCTATTATGTCATACCAGTTGGTTGTGAATAATAAATACCTGGGAAAAAAGTGTCACTTCGCAAATTGTCATCAGTGTGCAAACATCATCATTTTTTGACAAAAATAATATGTTTATAAGCATAAATTCATATTTTGTTAATAAAGAATAAGTTAATTGAAAACTGTTTTTTGCAACTTTATGCCTGCGCGGGCCATAATGTGTACTTTATGCCCGCACGGGCATAAAGTAATGCATTATGTAATGTCTGCCCAGCGACTCAGTGTCTACGGGGCAACGGTAAGGGGAATGCAGTTGTAAAAAAAAATGGCTGATTTCATTCATAAAATGCCCAGCTGCGTGCGGAACTTTTTGGAAATGTTATCGTATTGCAACTCGTTCACGAAAATCGACAATGACCAAACCGCCGCCACTGGATATTTCAATATAAATCGATATTCCAAGATGGGAGGATAAAATGACAAGAGCCCTGGCTGGCCAATAGCGAGACGTAAGGTGACGTTAGCCCACTGACAATTGCATGGTTGCCCGTGGCAATGGCAATCCTGCCAAAAACTCCACCAATCAGGTTCATCCAGGCCGGATCCTTGCCAAATTGTCAAAAGTTGATGGATTCTGTAGGAAATGTTTGTTTTTTACAATAGACAAAATTAAAGAAATCAGTTATTAAAATAAGCATAGATCTAACAACCACGTTGAAATATTTAGCGTTTTATTGTTATCTACATTTTGTTAATAAAAAATGGATTTTCAAATGAACTATACTTCATGCCTAGTTTTCTCGCTTTTTTTATAATTAAACGTGGCAACATCGCACATTTACGTCCGAATTCCTTTCGTAGACTCAGATCCGCTGGGCAAACAATAGATGGTATCTAAGGTATAAAAACACAATAATGTATTGGTATGACATTAAAAAAATTAAATAACTGGGTACCTAACAGGTAACAGGACCAAATCGATAGCATATATTTAATATAGAGTTACGGAGTTGGGTAATACCGGCCTTAGAGTAATATTTTAGTAAAAAGTTTGTAGGTAGCTGAATCAGAATATTTGCTTTAGAGATTATAAAATTTTAAAGACTAAAAGCTGGATTTATAGTGTCAGTACCAGTAACAGTAACTTAAAACTTAAGAAACAGATATAAAAATAACCTTTCAACCTTCCGGAGCTCGCGCTAATTATTTTGGAGAGGAGGCTCGCGCGCGGACTCACAATCCGCAGCCTTTAGATGGGCTTTTTAATGAGTATTTCTAAAAATTATTGGCAATAAATGTTAATTGTTATTTATTTTAAGTTCTTATTCATCGAGTACACTGATTATGGCATCTGAACAGAAGTTATTGTTAGAAAAAAGGAAATACATTGATTTTGACAATTTAGCAGAACTTATTGCCAACAGAAATCCAAAATAAAAATTCAACAACGCAAATAAGGATTCTATTTGGAAATAGAAATTTATCGCATTGTGAGCTGCATTGATGACAAATAACAAGTGAATGCTCCTCGAAATGCTCTAAACAAACACATTTGTGGCATTCGATGCAAAAAAAAATTAGAAGGTCTTACAGTTCGCATTGGCTATTATTTGGCAAAAAACGCACACACCAAGGTACAAATGAGCACTGACTCTAGGAGAACTCAGGATAGAAAGATACTTAAAATTGCAGCGCAGTGGTTTGTCGATTTTTGAAATAAACGGCAAAGTAAGATAGTTGCGGAGTGAGAGTCCGCGTGCGATCTCCGGAAGGTTAAGTTTTACTGATAAGTTTGGGAAGTGAACTATAAATGGCTTTACAGTCGGCAGTGCTTAAATATTTTACTGTTACTGATACTGACACTATAAATCTAGCTCAACTGCTAACCAATATTTTTTATTGTAGATAGTAATATTTGTGTGTCTTTGGCTAGGCCCTCCTCTAAGGATTACAACCTAGTATGTGAATATTGTGCAAAAACCTATTCCAATGAATGGAATTTTGGAGTCCATTTGAACACACATAATATTAATATCACTCCGAAACTATCTGATATTCATTGTCCAATTTGTGATTTCAAAGATCCTACGAAAGAAAAAATTCTTATTCATTTTAGTACTGCACATGATATTTTGATAGAAGTTGAGAAATTAAATTTTCCCCATATTCAGGATTTTTTTAAATGGAAAACCAAAATTGAAGGAGGAAATCATTTAAGATTTGTAAAGAACCGTGGTGTTAAAAGGGGCAAAGAATCAAAAACTACGTACTCCTGCCATCGATCTGGAACTTACAAAAACCGTGGATCACATTTGCGGCATCTAAAAACACAAGGTAGCTGTAAAATTAATGGGCTTTGCCCTGCTTCTTTAAAATTACATGAACATATGGATAATAAATGTACAGTTGAGTACACAAAAACTCATGTTGGCCATGATATAGATATAGGACATATTTATTTAACTGAAGAGGAAAGAAAGAATATTGCCATTAAGATTGCTGCCAAAATCCCTTTTCAAGATATCTTGGATGAGGTCAGAGATTCTGTGACCAACTGTGAACTTGAAAGAATGCATTTACTTACCAAAAAAGATTTATATAATATTGAAAGCAGCTTTAATCTGTGGAGTTCCGCTATACGACACAAAAACGATGCCATTAGTATAGATGCATGGGCCAATGAAATGCAAAATAAAAACTGTTTATTATTTTATAAGGCACAAAATGTTCTTTGTGAAGAATATTCTACTTTGAAAGAGGAAGATTTTTTTCTAGCAATTATGACAGAAGGTCAACAAGAAATGTTAAAAAAATATGGAAACGACTGCATTTGTGTTGATGGCACTCATGGAAGCAACCCTTACAACTTTGAATTGCACACAGTTCTAGTATTAGATGATATGAGGGAAGGGTTCCCTTGTGCTTTTTTAATTGCTAGTCGAAGCGATGAAGAAGTATTAACAATTTTTTTCTCACTACTATCACGACAATTAGATACCAAACTACAACCAAAGGTTTTTATGTCCGACTTAGCTCCAGTATATTATAATGCTTGGCAGAGAACAATGAAAGACCCAAATTATCGGTAACTGCACTTTTATTAATACTTATTTATCTAACAATAATAAAAAATAGTAGTTATTCTTAAATCTGAGTGTTGTTATTTAGCGTTAAGTATGAATATACAATAAGTAGGTAATTATAATAACTTCTTGTTTTAGACTTTTTTGCACCTGGCACATTGATAAGGCATGGAGGAAAAATCTTAATAAAATATTAACACCAGAAAAACGTGTAAGTACTTCAGTATTATTATTGATGAAAAATCGTTTATCATGGAATTTAACTTAAGTAACTAATATTTTTCAGGTTTCTGTCTATAAAAAATTGTGTATTTTATTACAAGAAACTGACAAAAATGCCTTTGAGCGAATGATTCCCAAATTTATAGAAGAACTACTCAGTGATCCTGAGACTTTTGAATATGGCAAATATTTTGTAGATTATTACGCGCATCGAACTGAATGTTGGGCGTACTGTTATAGAATAAACAGCGGTATTAATACCAACATGCATGTCGAGCGCATGCATCGTACCCTAAACAGAGCTGGGCAAAGCCCTCAGTAAAAGGGCTTGAAGCACTAAGCCCTAAGCCCTCTATCAAAGTGCTTCAATTTCAAGCACAAATTCCTTTTTATTTTCAAAAGTGCTTCACAAGCACAAAGCCCTCAAAGTGCTTTGGGCTTGACAAGCACAAAGCCCTCAAAGTGATTTGAAAAGTGCTTGAAGCACATCAAAAGTGCTTGGGGTGCCTTGAAAAGGGCTTCAAGCTCTTTAAATGTGCTTCAAGCTCTTTAAATGTGCTTGAAGCTCTTTATATGTGCCTAAAGCACTTTGAATTTGTAATAAACTTCTCAAAGTGGCATAAGCTACCGCGTACACTCATCACACAGAATGGGCTCTTTCACTAATTTTTGAAATTGGCATATTTGGATAAAGCAACTAAAAACAGAATTTTCTGTATTTTTACTTTTGAAAAATTCAAAGTCCTTCTTGAGAAAACAGAAAACAAAGAAATACCTCCAAATAAAAACCCAGAATTTATTTCTATGACGTCGCAGCTCGCAATTTGACCGTGTTGCCACTAATTGTCAACATTGAAAATTTGTAATAGATTTAATTCTGAAATGTTGGCAAAATCTCATGAAAAGTAGTTAAATTAATTAGTTATAGATTCAAGATTTTATAACATTTTTTTTTTAAATTATGCTTAAATACAATTTAATGCAATTTTTTATGTTTAGTTTTATTTATTTATTTTACGCTGCACTACATTTAGTCACAACCGACAACAGCGCATTCGAACCTTTACGTATCTTTACAGAGCGCAAACACAGCCGAGCCCTTCCTCCTTGCAACGACATAAGCGAAATGAAGAATATTTATGTGACGTCGGAAAATCGGCGCGTTTTAAAATAGTTTGAATTTAGGCACTTTTGATTGCCTATGAAAGACTTATTGAACCTTGTAGAACATTTTTTTTTGGTATATATGCCTAAAATAGTCCCTCCTTTGAGATTTTATACTTAAATTACGTATTTAAATTTTAGTGAAAGAGCCCATTGGTATAGTAGAGACGAACTTTACATTTCACAGAATAGCAGTGGTATGTTTTTTTTGAGATGTAGTTCTGGGGTACTTGAGGTAGTTGGGGTACTACATGGTAATTCAATTTTAAGGTTTTCAAAATGTTCAATGGGGAAAAGTGAAAAAAATCCAGTGATAAAGTTAAATAGGATACCAATATAAATTAATTATTTATTTGAATAATAAGTTCATTCATTTTTTTTTTAATTCCATTCTAAGCTCAAACCCAAAACCTCCATTGTTAAGAGAGAAAAGACATAAGACGGTTCAAGTTCAAATAATGGAAAAAAAAATTAAAGGACAAAATATGATCGAAATTTTTTAAGTGGGGGATAGGTTGAATGATGGTCAATTCAAATTCCTTTCAAAGTGCTTCAAGCCCTTTTAAAGTGCTTCAAGCCCTTTTAAAGTGCTTCAAGCCCTTTTAAAGTGCTTCAAGCCCTTTCAAAGTGCTTCAAGCTCCCAAAAGTGCTTCAAGCCCTCTTAAAGTGCTTCAAGCCCTTTCAAAGGGCTTCAAGCTCCCAAAAGTGCTTCAAGCCCTCTAAAAGTAATTGAAGCTCATTGAAAGGGCTTGAATTACTTTTTTCAATTACAAATTACCAAGCACTTTTCTAAAGTAATTGACTTTGCAAGCCCCAATTACAAATCTATAAAAGGGCTTGAAGCACAGGGCTTTCAAGTCCTCAAAGTGCTTTAAGCACTTTCGCAAGCACAAAGCACTCAAGCCCTGCCCAGCTCTGACCCTAAATATTTATATATGGGTGGAAAACATGTTAAGAGACTTGATTTGGGTGTTCATGCCATTATGCAATTCGTTAGGGATAAATTATTTGATCGACTAATACCTAACTATTAATAAAGGCAAGCTTTCTAGAAAATTGAAAGATTTAAGGAATCGTCATGTCAACAGTGAGAAGTTGAGATTTGAAATTATTTTCCCAGAAGAGACAGGCTGGCGAGTAGTGTCCGCTTCATCATCTCAAACATATTTTGTTAACAAAGTTAGAACAGAATGCCAGTGTAAGCTCACCTGTTCTGATTGTCAAAATGTATGTCTGCATCAATACTCTTGTACTTGTATAGATGCTTCAATCAAGTGGAATATGTGCAAACATATACATCTTATATGCAGTTACTTACAATGTAAACCTATTGCAATTGACTCTGCACGTGGTCAAGGTACCTTCGAAATTAACTATTGTTATAATTTTGTCACTTATACTTATTTTTTTTATAGAGTTGGACTAACAACATTTATTTTTGATACTATCACATTGATTTATGTTCATTTTTTTTTTGTAGATCAAAATAATAACCCCACTGAAGAATGTACAATCATTAAGTCTATCAGCCACTCTCAGGAGCTGAATGAAGATTATGCTGTACCAATGTTAGCCTTAGAAAAATCTATTTCGGATCTGAATGCAGTCATAAGAAATAATGTCAAAACTGTCGGGGATTTCAAGGCTCTCAAGAAAATAGTGGCTTCTATTGAGCCGACTCTACAGGCCATACAAGAAAGCAAAACAAGGAAAAATTCTTTGCTCACCAATGAAAAACCAATCGCAGTAAGAATTTCAACCTACTTGGAACGCGTGTGTATAGGTACATATTTTTGATTGATGCTTTATTACTAATATATTTTTTAGTTCCAGCATAAACTAAGCCCTAATTTTCATTTTTTTAAAAGAATTTTAAGAAAACTGCTTAGTTTAATTTGGCTTAGAGCTCTATTTTCGTTTAAAATACCAATATACAGACTAGCACCCACTTATTACGAATTACGATACATTTGGCAACAGTGTTAACTCGTCCACGGGGGGGGGCAGCCCCTAGAATCTAGTGAGCTTTGTTTTGAAGAAAAAATGAAGAAATTAATTAATAAGTCGAAAATTACTAGAGATAGGTATAGGACAGTGTTATACAAAAATGATCAGAAAGTAATAGCGGAGTAAAAAATGCAATAATATACAGGGTGTCTCGTTCAAAATATCAAAGTTCATATTACTTTTTGGTATTAGCGGCAACGTCGCATCATTGAAATTATTTTGGAAAGATAGATCGGGAGCAATTATATGAGCATGCAAATTTTCAAAAACATCCAACAATCCGTTTTCTATAAGCGTCTAACCTACCATCGACCATCAATCACCCTGTACATACAGAGTGGGCCAATTTGGACACTTTTGATGGGAAACATCAATTTCTGAGCGAGATACAAGAAAGATGAACCCCCCACTCTGAGGCTCAAATTTCATGGAATTTTCATTGGTGCAAACCGCATTTTAAAAGGGTCCCACCTCCGAGATATTGGCCAAAGTCTGCTTTCTTTTACTAGGACACCCTATATATCAATAACTCATTAGAAACCTCTGCTTTTTTTTATTTCAATAATATAAAGTGCGATAGGTTTATCTCTAACAGTTTTCGAGAAAAAAAATTATTTCGGTTTTTGTCATAAGAAGCAATGTGTAAGAAAAGGACTTTATATCTGTAAGGAAACTGAGAAAGGTCTCTTTCCAACACATTGTTTCTTATGACAAAAACCGAAATAATTTTTTTTCTGGAAAACTTTTAGAGATAAACCTATCGAACTTTATTTTATATCATTGAAATCAGTAAAGGCAGAGCTTTCTAATGAGCTATTGATATTTAGGGTGTCCTATTAACAAAAACTAGACTTTGGTCAATATCTCGAAGTTGGGACCAACTAGAAAAAAACTGAGAATGTCACTGAATTCTGCTTAGAAAAGTGCTTCCAGAACGTTTTTACGGAAATCAATTTTTGCCATAAACAAAAAAGTTATGATGGTTTCAGATTATTGCTCAAAATCGAGAAGCGCCCTCTAGCGACTAAACGGTTGAAGATATCAAAATGCGGTTTGCACCAATCAAAATTTCATGAAAGGACCCCGCACTTGGACCATTGAAAATAGGTTTCGGTCAAAATGTCTGAAGTTTTTATATGTAGTAGTTCTTTAGTGGTGGAGAACTATCGATGGCACTATCGATAACTATCGATAGTATGGACTATCGAAATATATCGATATTTTTTTTCAACCATCGATAGTTTTCGATAGTTGGTTGTAACGCCCATTAATAAGCGAAAGTTAGGTTAGATGCACAAAACTGAACTGCAAAAACAAGAATCCTAAACTACTTACGATTGCTCATCCTCATAAGACGTAAGTTTGCCAGTTCTTGAGTTGGCAAGGCCTGCGAGTGACGTCACAATTATCAGTACCTTATAGCGGTGACGTCACCCGCAGGCCCCGATGGGATGCTTGCAATTCAGGCTGTGCTTTTGAGTTATTTCTTTTGTCGATTTTAATGTAGAAAAGCTGATTTTAAAAATGGAAATTTTTTATAAAAAGCAATCTAAAAAGACTTTCACTGTGGTGCGTGGTGCCATTATTTCTGACAAAAGTTCTTGAAGAACGTTGAAATAATCGATAATAATAATGATTTTTATACAAAAATTCTTCGGAAAAAAGTATGTTCTCCGCAATGATAGATGTTGATGTTTAAAGATCATTTAACTATTTCCTAGAATCATATTTTTAGTACGTCAAAAAGAAAATAAGGTTTTTGTCTATCTTATCTATCTATCCTTTGCTAACTAATGTAATTTACATTCATATGACGTACAGATATCTTTAATATTTCCTTATAACTTGTAACTAATTACTATCGAAAACTATCGATATTAATCGATAGTCAAGGTCCCGACTATCGATAAATATCGATGGTCGGGACTATCGATAGTTCTCCACCTCTAAGTTCTATGTATGTAGATCGAATTTTGGCAAAAAAATTGAAGGGGTCTTCGAGCCGTTTCGGGGCTACGGTCATCCATAGGCGTGCGAATAAGAGTCGGATTGCAAGCGCCGCCTTGAAAATTTTACTTTAAAACACAAAAAACAAACCATTCTAGACATAATTATTAGATATAATTGTTTGGAATATACTTTCATGTAGCCGTTAGACTAAAAATGTTACAAATGTACAGGGTGGACACTTTTATCGGTACCTATATTTGAATATATCTTATCACAGATGCATAACGCTCATCTTTTATTAGATATTTGTAGTGTTTTCGTTTCTAGAAACTTTATTCAAATACTAAGTATATAAATCATTTCATTTTTTTTCTTTTAAATACATGGATGGCCATTCAAAAGTTATTGCTAATTAATTTTAAGTTAAGATAAAACAAACAACAGTTTGCAATGACAAAATTCCCTGACTTACTTTTTTGCTTCCGTACGTGATTTCACACTTTGCAGGTAGCAAAACTCTTGACATTACACTGTATACTCAAGTAGCTCACCTCAACATGAATAAAACCAACATTTCATAGAATATATTTATAATGAACATAATGGTTAAAAAATATCATTTGAAGATTTTCAATTTTAAATGATTCATGTGAAAGATCAAAAAAGAAAAACAAAAGTCAACTAAGTGCAAATGTAAAAAGCTAAATTACGTAATAGAATTACCTAAATACGTTTGCTAGATTATTCTGTAATAACAAATAATATTAAGAACTCTACGTAAAATATCTAGGTTCAAAGATCTATAATTTTGATAATGCTCAACACTCAAAACTGGGTTTGGACATTCGGTTTCATGATATCAAATATCAAACAATGGCTGAAAAAGTGAGGATGGGTGTAAACTTGCAAGAGAAAAGTATAGAACCGCCCGCATTTACTTTCTGTCTGGATATCGAGAGAATAAGAGGTTTTGTTGTGAAAATAACGCTGAAAAATCGCCAGACGGTAATCGCCGTTCGAAATCGAGTTTTTCGCGAAAAATTCTGTGGACGTTTCGAATGGGGAGCAGGCAATAAAACCACTTATATTTTCATCAGCTAACTAGCTACATCCAGCCCTCAAAATGCCAGACAAAAAAAATTACTCCACTAAACAGTTCCTATCTCAGGGTCTATTAAGAACATACTAAATATTGTTTTGATTGTGAAATCGATTTGAAACATCTCGAACTTTTTCCAAGAGAGGATTGGATGGGATTCTGATGCTCGCCAAATGCCTAGAATTTCTGAGAAACCAAATAACGTTGGTTATGTGTGCACACATACAAACTGTCCTTGCACCAACTTTGCATGTGCAGTAATGACCAGTTATAGAAGCCTCATCGTACTGAATCCATATTTGATACTTAACAGCATTTCTAAACCGCGACCATATCCTGAGTCCTATTACATTATCTATTGAAATCGTGGTATCAATTTAGAAATTGTTACTTACCCTGCTTATGTTGTCTTGCATCCTGAATATAAAGATATAAGATGGTGCAAGTTTCAGCTGGCCTACCGTCAGTTCACTGAGATAATCTGGGTTAAGGCGAGGAAAATCGGGCACGTGGTGGTCTTCTAAATTAACAAAAGTGCCATGACGTTGCAGTAAGTGTTCATTTTGTTTTCTTATTTGTAAAGTATTTTCTTCACTTGATTTTTGTAGTAATACTTCTGCTAGTTCAATATTTGCTCCTTACATTATAGGTTCCCGATATTTATTTATTATTGTTCCGCAGATAAGATAAAAGTCTTTTAAATGTACAGCATGGTTCATTGATATAACATTAGCAAAAAATTTAAAAATTGACTTAAAATGACCATTTCGAGACTCCACAATCCTTCTAGTTTTAGTAATCACACGATTTTGGTTAGCTTCTTCAATCGAAAGCTGTCTTTCTCCAGGTCTAACACTACTAGGTATAAGATGGTCAATCCCCAGTTCTTGGAGCAAAGGGATCGCATCTCGATAGCCTGTATCAACAATGAACAAATGGTGTTCCTGGAACCACTCTCTTATCCCTCGAATATCTCGTTGAAACTCATTGGTTAACAAGCTGCGTCGTTTTTTCTTGCATCGGAAAAATAGGGTCCATGAATGTAAAGAAAATATCCATCGGGCGCTACCAAAAGGACTGGTTTTATGAGATGGTATCCTTTGTGGACACAGTGAGACTGCCGCAGAGCCTGAAATAATTTATTTTCACTGTGAAAAAAACATTTAAATGATATTATTGCCCTTCATCCTTCATATTATTCTTGAAGTGAAACTTGTTTTGGCACAGTGTGAATGGAATCGTATGAAACGCTTTGTAATGTAACATGTAAGTGAGGCAAATGGGGAAATATGAGAGGAAGTAGGAAAAAATAATGGGGAAATGGAAGGAAAGTGGGTGAAATGGAAAATGGTGAGTATGGAAGTGCATGGTGGAAGTGAATGAAAACTTACCACCCTTATTATCTTGGAGTTGAAAAATCCACTATAATTTGAAATGGGATGAGGATGAGAAAATCTTAAATGGAAATAGGGGTGGTAAGTGGTAATTTTTAAAATGAACACCCTGTATAATATATTACTGAAATAATAAAATCATACATAATAAGGCAGTAATATAAAAGTACCACATAAAAACATGTACCTATTTGTAGCATTATCTAAAAAACCCTTTTATATTTTGGAATGATTATTATTTTCCAGGGTAGCTAGAACGTTTGTACTTAACTTTCTTTGATACTTTAATAAGTGCC